CATTGTGGAAAATTATACATAAACCCTGCTCTTCAGTGTCAGGGAGCCTCGAATTCCTCCTGTCCTTTGATGCAATAAGAGAAATTGGACAGATACTAAGATGAGCCTCTCTGACAGTGTGGGACAAATGGACTTTTCCTCCGTCCATCCATAACAAGGTGGAAGAAAACAATTCTGCACTAACTGCTTCAGAAATCATCCTTCCTGCTTAAATCTCTTCTCAGAGAACATAACTTGCACATTGGATTTTGGCGTTCACAATAATTCTTACTTTCTGCAACTGACACCACCTAAAATGTGTATTTGTCATATTTCCCAATTATTTAAGTATTATAGAGTTTGGTCTTTTAAAAAATTGCGGCCTGTTTTTTTGTCCATTTACTTGCTTGATTTCATAGCCTATAAGCCAAGTTTCAGGAAATATATCTCTCAGACAAAATATATTGTCTTGCCTGTTCCTCACAGATTTCCCATTGGAACTTAACTGGGACCACATGCTACAGCCATCAGCTTAAGCCAAGGATTCACATTTATTAGAATGATACATTCAGCCCAAGATGAGAAAAAAACAAACAGATGTTTCCTTTCATATGTACAACTTCCTCATTTTTTACAAGCATGATGACCAATCTGGTTATTTTCCTTCTTATGAAAGGTTATTCAGAGATAGTTCAAGAGTTAGATTTTTAAAATATTGTGGACAAAAAAGAACCCCAGCTACTTCATTAACCTCAGTTTAAGTTCAGGGTGTCCTTTTCCTGCATTGCTAGTAAGTTTTGGTAGAAGAGAATTATAGAATCAGTCCAAAGGCCCTGTATTCTAGGAAGTTCTAGCTTTTGAAGTAGAGATGAAAGAATGGTGATTCTGAGAACAGACTAGAAATGACAAACAGCTGCTTGGGATAATGTGGCAGGCATAGTGCTAAGTGAACATTCACTTCTTATTTAGAATCAGAGAGTTAAGAGGTGAAAAGAGGTTAAAAATGTCAACCAAATTCTTCACTTTCAGGATGAGGAAACCAAGAATCGGGAAGTTTAAGTGGTTTGCCAATGGCATATAGATGTGTCCAGGTTCAGGGTTACAATCAAGTTTTCATGACTTTCAGTCAAACACAACTTCCACTTCACTTTAAAGTGTCTTCATCTTAGATGAAGGAGCACAATTTTAAGTCTTATGTTACTGTGACCTGAATTTCTTTCTAGAACAGTCCTTGTAAACATCCATCCTTGAAAGTCATATCTTTGATGACTCTGTACCAGTTGTTCAGATTATATGGAAATAAATACATCTTCCTTGCTGAAAGAAAAGAGATACAGAGATACAGAGATATAGATTGCTGGAATGAAAACAAATTCTTTCTTTAGTTTCAGTTGGTGACATTTGATGTGTATGTTAAACACAACAGGCACTTCAAAAAGACTCTTAAAACATTATGCACAAGTTACTTCCAATTGAGGAGGTTCTGTCCTTGATTTGTAAAATTCAGTATATACACAAATCAAGCAAAAGCTACTTTCTTTGCTTTTACTTTAAGTTGTTTTCTAAGGTAACACAGCAAGATAGTGCTCAAGGATATGACGTATTTCTTATATCCCACAATTTATTAGAATTAAGATGACAAGCTTTCTCAATGCCTCTGTTGACTAGAAAACAAAAACTGAGTAACGTCTTCCTCATCAGGAGGTGGATAACTTCCGAGCAGCAATTTTCATGAGATGTCTCAGATGGTGAGGAAGAAATAACAGGAGCCCTGGGAGCTGATAAAACAGGCACAGAGCCCTTCAAACTATTCCTCCCTATCTCTTTATTCCCCTTGTTTTGGAGACAGGCAAAATTGGGGAGATTTCTACTCAAGTCTTGAAGGGTCAAAGTGACCAACCACTTCCTTGTGACTTGAGCAGGGTGTGAAGCTGAAAGTATAGCTGCTGGTCTGCTTCTCTGGGCTGAGGAACCTTACGCACCAGCTGTCAGCCCTACTTCTTTCAATTTTGACCTGTGCAATACTTTGGTTCTTTATTTTTATTTGAATTCTTTGCTTTAAGATTTACAGGTTTAGCTGAACTTAGGCCCCGCATGAAAAATGAAGTTTACATAGTTTTTATTATGTACATAAACTAGGCATTTACATTGATTTACACATGATTGGTGTCTAATTTATTAATCAGCACAGAGTATGTAAATGTGCTGAAAAGAAATCAAGATTTTAAATGTTTTCCACAATATCCATAAACATTCCACGGCTGTAAATGTTAAACCTAAACCTAATGTTAACACTAGCTTCCTTGCCAAGAGGAGAGGGAGGTACATTGCTGAGTGAAAACAAATTCTTTCTTGAATTTCATTTGGGGGTATTTCAACAACATACCCAAATGCAAATGAGAATAGTTTACTTCTCTTCCCAGTAGGATGCACATAAATGGAAACTCCATTTTCCATTTAGTGAAATGTTTACAGATATCATGTCAATGATGGAAAATTTACTTCACTGGGGCAATGCAGTCGTTGGAGGAAAAATATTTTAAGTACTCAAGACTTCTTAAACTGGATTTTTGTTTCTTAACTTAAGGACTTATTTCACCATTTTTTGTAGTATGTTCATTTGTCTTTAATGTTTTTATAATTTTTTTTTTTACATCCAATATAGCATTGCACTTACACTGCTAGAAAAAGCTAATAGTTATTGGGACCAAGATGAAATCCAGGCTAAATGTTTATGAATGAGGATGAAGAAAAAATGAGGACATAGTTATTCCCAAAGTACATGGTCCATAGCCAAATTTCTTTTAAGCAAATAGTTACACAGTGGGCAAATGGGGCTTCACGTATATCTAAATGAAGCATAGCCTTTAAAAAAAATAAGCCAAATTCATTGTTTTCTTCCATTTGTTTAAAATGTTATACTAAAATTTTCTTGCAACACATATATTATTGTAAATATAGCATCTGTAAAGATTAAACACACACACACACACACACACACGCACACATATATATTTTGCAAATAATTCAATGCCTGCATAAAACAAAGTGAGAAATTCAAGGAGAGTGACCTTAGAAACAGTCGAACCATACCCAACTCAGGGATGAACATGACTCTGGAGTAAAAAAGAACTCTGCAGATAATAAGTGAAATAATTTCATTCTGAGAAGTGCTAGTTTTATGTGCAAAGGAGGTAAGTCCATTTTCAGAGGTGAAACAGATTTTTTGTTTCTGCCCTCCAAGAACATGAAAATCACGAGTACTTTTACAAGGTCTCTATTATAGCCCCATTGTTTGATTACATAGCAAAAACCATGCCCATGGCCAGGGAGAAGTCTGCTTGACCTGGAAGAGAAACAAAGGCCTCCAGGAATCCTTCCCAACAGAAAGTACAGCTACTCTTTCATAAACTTTAATTCTTCCAGAATAAAGGGATTTTATTATTAAAATAAGAAAAGCTGTTCCTCCAATAAGGCAAAAACGTTTCAGTGAAAATTTACACAGAGTATAATTAAAATCCTATAGTGTGTAGGAGAGTTCCCTGGGTCAAGGTCACGTCCTCTTTTCTTGACTGAAAGTTAGGGCTAAGGATTTTGCTTTATGAATGGGAGTTTCATTTTGTATACAATGGATATGAGATGGATTAGCCATTCAGATTATTTGATGCATTGCATTCCGCTCAGTATATTATTTCCACAAAGTTGGTGTTTTTCAGTGCTGTGATTACAATAGTCAAGATTCCTGAAGAGATTTATGACAATATAGTGAATTAAATTTTAAAAATCTCGTACTGAGACTTAATAATTTCTTGGTGTTAGTACTCTAAACCTACATTTTTTTCTCAACTTTTCTCCAAATTGCATGGACTTCCACTCATCACAAAGCCTAGAAACATTCCCTACCCTGTGAGCTTTCTGGGGCCAATATGTTCTCTGTAACAAAAGCAAGAAGCACACTTTTAAAAAAATCACACATCTTGCAATATATAGGCAAACACCACATTTTTAAATATTTGTTTAATTATGTTTAATATATGGTCCATTATATTAAAATCAAGATAACAAATGATACTGACATGGCCAAGACATCCCTTTCAATGGAGACACTTCTCCCATAGAACCAAGACCTTTCCTTATGATAGGGTGGAGAGGATAAGAAGGCCAGGTGTGTGAATGAAGCCTGTGACACACCACAGACATCTGTTCCTGAAAGTGACATAATAGATATCAGAATTAACTCCTGCTCCTTTTCTCTTCCTGCATCTTTAAATTATTGTGAACTCTCTCAACAAGTTTCCACTCAAAGGCGTGGCTGACTCTTCAACATATGGGGAATGTATGTCATTAAAAGTAATAATCACTTTTTCTATATTAAGAAGACCAAACTGTTAGCGAAATGCCTGATTGTCAATAAGTTAAGATGCATAGGAATATGGCTCACCTTCTCTCTCTTTTCTTAGCTACCTTCTTGGATAAAACTTTCTGTCCTGTCCCAGAATCTGCCTCGAAAACTCTTATTCATCCCAAAGCCCAATTTTTGCTCTCTTTCATGACTAAACTGCAAAATTATAAAAGAAACATGATAAATTTATAAAATTTATAATTTATAAATTTATAAATTTTACACTAGAATCCCTTAGAAGAGATTTAAAATACTGCTTATATCTTTTTTCTTCTTCCTTTCCTTTCATTCTTTCTTCCTCCCTCCCTCCCTCCCTCTCTTCCTTTTTCTTCCTTTTTTCTTCTTTCTTCCTTTCTTCCAATTATGAAATTTCTCATTTTATATCATGTGATAGCTATTCTCAAGGTTCAAACACCTGATTCGGTTCTGTGGGATTTTATTCATTTATGATCTCAACTAGACTCCCTTGTCCTTCCAGAAGCTGAACCTCTTCCAGTGCCTCCTATTGTCTAATTGTAAGCAATGGTCAGTTTCTTGGTAAAGATATCTACAAGCAGAGCCAGCTTTCTCTGCAAGACCTTTCCTGAGAAAGCCCTTCAGGTTATGTGGTGATACTAACTTTTGTGGTTCTCATATAACTTCTGCCTAAATTAATTACAAGTGGCTCAGATCTCTTGGTTAAGGAGTTAGCTTAGATTTCTGTGTTAATGTCAAGATGATGCATAGAGATGCAAATTTAAAAAGAGCAAAAGATGTGATATGACTGTAATGTAATTCTGAGTGGCCTGGCCTAGGATACTGATGGACCCCATGAACAGTGGTGGTGCAGACATCATCAGTGGCACAGAGAGAGGGGCCATGTATGCAGTCAAATGCAGGATTAGCTAGAACACCAGGGAAAAAATCTGCAAAGGGGCACAAGTGCATTCCTTTTCTTTGTGATCAGTGCTTCATATTATAGCTCTAGCAGTATCTGCAGAATGTGGGAAGGACTTGGGCATCTGTCTACTTTTCCTGTCTTGCTCACGCTCACTGTATTTTGTCCTAAAGGTGAAACAATCTCTGCTTACGGAAATCTATGGGGCAAATGCAGTGTTATTTGAAGATCAGGGAGAAGGCAAAACAGGGTTTCTTAGTATCTCCATGTGCCTCATCATTCTGTTCATGGAGTTAACACTTGAACGCTCCTGTTTCTGGGTTCTTGTTCAGTACATGCGGTTTGCTTTTGCAGTGAAGCAAGACCCAAGCCTGTAAAAAGTCAGGAAATGTATGAATCCATCAGACTCATGAAATAAGAGTGAAATCTGAAACCTGCTTTCCTAGGTAATTTCATCCATGTCACTGATCTGTTCCACTTTTTGCTCATCCCATCAGTAGTAGGCACTTTCATTGACAGTGGTATTTTGAGTGACTCCTGATTGTGTTCTGAAGATGGGACTAGGAGTAATATGGGGTCCTGCCCTTGGAAGAGGGGACAGCCTGGTTTGAATACACATTGATGTCGTGTGACAGCCATGAATGGAGGAGGGACTCTGCTCCTTACCTCCCTCCCCGCCATCTCCCCCAGCAAGTCGTTACAGCCGCATTTCACAATTACAATGCAGGACGGTATCTACAGCACAATGAGTCTATGTACACATGGACCATTCCCTTGGCATGCTTTAGAGAGAGACACACACACTCACACACATGTACACTCATGTGAGAGCGAGAGACTTGAGCACACACGCACAGTGGAAGAAAATTAAAATGGCACTTCCTAGCATCTGCGGCATGACAAGTGCTCTGGAGGGTGGTGGGGTGAAGAGAGGTGGGGTGGCTGGAGAAAAGGAAATCTTTAGCTTGGGTGTGGGAAGATAGAACACACTGGAAGTAGAGGGGGTGATCTCAAAAGTTGGAGAGAGTGGAGGCAGGGTAGTCTGGTAAAGGCTCAACACAAGATCCCATTGATAGTCAGAAATGGCTACAAGTCAGCTCAAATGAGAACAGAATAGAGATTATGGAAATATAAACACTAAAGGCAAGACCTTATATTTTTCCCCACAGATGGAAACAGATGAAGGAGGAAGGATAAATTGTGTGTGGGTGGGTGTGGGGGGGTTAATTCCATGTAGTTTTATCTTATTTTTACAAAATCCAGGTGTCCTTAGCATGAAGCAGTCTTTACACAGCATTCATTTGCTTAGTAGATATATACATAGCGTGGTAGAACATTTCATTTCCCACCATGAATTATGCTCAATTTTTTATTGATGGACAGTAAAATCGTTTTAAATGTTGGATTTTCTGCATTTTCATATTTCCTCCTTCATTTATAAACACACAAAGTTGTGAAATAAACAGTCTCCCCCATCTTGCACACTCTCTCTCTCTCTCTCTCTCTCTCTCTCTGTATCCAGTGTGACACATTTTTGTGTGTTTTTTAAATTACTTTTAAATTTTTATCCTATTAACATTTGCTGAGAAGGCAAAGCAGAGATGCTGCCAGCAGCCACAGTGGTACGGCCAGACTGATGGATCCGTTTATTCCTCTCACCGACCCAGGTCCTGCACAGTAAAAGAGGAGAGAGAAAAGAGAATTGTTATGTCCCGGAGGCTTTTGTTACAGCTGCCAGCTGATGGGGCACAAAGGAAGGCATGGCCAAGTGCTGATGTTCCAGTGTCTGTGCCCTGTGTGCTGCTCAGGAAGGGCTCTAATACTTTCCTACTCCTTCTCATCCTGACGTTTGAGTGTCTTGTGCTAAAATACTTGCAAAGCCAACAATGCTCTTGCTGGAGCTGTCCCTATCCTGGCCATCACCACTCCCTGCTGTGCTATATGCTGTCCACCCAAGTCACTCTCTTGCCTTTTGTGCCCACATCTCCCTGTGAGGCCAGCACTGGTCCCTGAAGGGCCTTCAGCAGCTGGACATGAGCTCTTCCTCTCCGTTCATCACAGCACCAATAAAGTGTCTTGTCAATCCATGACTCCTTTGTTACTTAGAGAAATAGTAGTTACGTCCTTGTTAAATGGGAAGGGAATTACACAGAATAACTTTTATGGGTGGGTGGCACCTTATCAAGGTAAAAGGTCAGTCAAGGTAATGAAGTGTCTTAAGTGGAAGTAAGGATCATCGCCGTCCAACTCTTCATTTGTCACTTTAAAATTCAAAAACAAAATTAATGACAGCAATAAAAACAAACGAACTGGCCCAGAGATGTTAGGAGGGTGGTCTATACCAGCAGCAGGCCTGAGCTTTGAAATCACTTGGACCGGAACGAGGCATGACAGTCTGTGTCACTTTCTACCACCCTAGTGCTGCCAACGCTGGACGCACAGGGATTGCAGGCGTGGCTCTGACAGGGACAGCGGCACGGAGAGGATTTGGGAAGTGAGATTTGTGCATTGAAGGCAAAAGGAGGATTGGTGCAGAATTTGTAGGTCAATCAAGACCTTGTCCCCTGTACTTTGTTCTCTTTCCTCCTTTTCTTCATATTCCGTTAAAGTAAACACAAAAAATCACTATAGATGCTTTGGCGTTAAGGCTACAGACTTAATGACATTCCAAAAAGAAACTGGTAAAACTGTAATAATGAGTCTCTTTGAAGTTTTTGGGGCACATGTGCAGCCCAAAGTGTGCTTGTGTGTGTGTGTGTGTGTGTGTGTAAAACTATGATGGCTTACAATTGCAATAAGGTTGAAAGAAGCTTCTGGCATGTGAATTTTTCCTAAACTGTTTACAAACATACCACGTTGGAGTTAGGATGACGGGGGTAATGCTTAATTCAGGAATGGCCCCTAATTTGTGTCTTATGTAATTAATAAAAGCAATAATAACAATAAAAACAACAAACAATTGTGTACTGGGCACTGTCATAAATACAAGCACCTACCTGTGCAGGGGTAAATACATAATTAAACTTGTTTTACAGTGAGTTAGCAGTCACAGAGAGATCAACTCCAAGTGCACAATTCTACCACTTGTAAGCAGAGAGGCTGGGTTTTTAGCCTGGTGTTTGGCTCCCAAGCCTATGCCTCCCAGGACTGTGCAGTGAAGCTCAATAGAAGGTGGCCACTGGCAGAATGAAACTTGGTGTTGGATTAAAACAGTAACCAGTGCGCACATGTACGCGCGCACGTGCACACACACACACACAAAGAGGTAACCATTACCTTTGTAAAAATGATTCTGAATGGAGTATTTTGGGCTAGAATACCTTGGTGAGAATACTAAGAATATTACTTAATGTAAAAATATGAACATGTACAGAGCAGTATAGTTTCTACGTAAAATGAGCTTTACCATGCTTAATTGGAAACAAATTCAGTAACCAAGCAGTTAAGTCTCTGATTTTGTGAATGGCTATGGGTCATGTTAATAAAAGTCACTTTAGTTGCTTTCAGCTTCAAGTAGATGATGGAGGCAGCATCGAGGACCTGGTTAGTAACTGCTGGCCTGACATTCACCCCAAGTTCATCCTTAGGTTCAGTTCAATGTCCTTCCTGTTCCACTGTCTTCCCTTCTATCCATAGACTTTTTGAACTTCAGGGATCTCCAAGTTCTCTTAATGGAAATGTTTCTAGCCAGGTGAGTAGAATTCTTTATCTAGGTCCTTGTTTATTCTTTGAGTTCCTTCATATACATTAGATGATATCAACTTCTTGGATCACTGTATTAGCATATCAATGAGCCTTTCAAAACAGAGAAAGACTGTACTACAAAGGTCCTACATAGTTAAATAAAAATGAATTTTGTTTTACCCCAAGAATAATGTAAAATATATCCTCAGGAAATATCTTTTTATTTCCATAGTCTCACTTTCAGCCATAGAATAGACGAGATTATCTTTCTGATATCCTGGAGTTGAGGGGTATTTGTGGAAAGCTAAAAACATCCCTAGTCTTATCATTTTATTTGCATGGTCGTAAATATTTAAGAAAAGTATTCATGATTGAAAAATATAATACATACATATAAAAACCTGGACAAACATGTTCCCATGTAACATTCTTGCTGATGCCTATTTGTATCTATATATACAGAGGGGAGGCTATAAGCTATAATATACTCACATATGATATATACATGTATTATTAATTTTTTAGTACACACGATGCAGAATTAGCTATTGCCTTCACATGCTATTTTATGCTATAGTATGAGTAGGTTAATAGTATTTAATTTATCCTTAATAGTATTAGCATGCATTTATATCACATGGTGTACATCTCTTAAAGATATATTTGTCTCCATCAACTATTATTTATTAAGTGCTTTCATGTAGCTATTTAAAGTAGTTATGCCACTTGCTCTTATCATAATTGATTTTGAGACCAAATAAATAGACTTGAGAAATCCCAGGGTAAATGGGCAACAGGTGGGGAATCATAACAAGTGTGTATGCAATTACAGATGTACATGACTGTATAGGAGACCACTTCAGTTAATGGCTATTTCAGGGAAGAATAATCAGCAAAATCATTAATTATGTTTTAGTTCATAGTTATGAAATTTCTGCTTATGTGTGGAAATGCAAATGATAAATCTTATTTTCCATGCCAGATGGCCAGGCTGAACAAGTGCTTTCATATACTGACAGATATAATGAAAGCAAGAGTCTGAAAACATAAATTAGCCTTAAGAAGAGATGGGCAAGTAAAACCCAAATTCAAAAACTTTCACAGACAAAAATCATGCTATCTTTGTATTTAACCACATTTAATGTGTGTTACACGTATACATATACACTGTTGTGTGTGGCTTCTCATAAGTATCCAGTAAACTATACCATTATTATTATTGTCATTAACATAAAAGTTTGACAACAAAAGTGAATTACATACTGACCTGAATCAAATGATATTTGTTGGCGAATTGGGTCAAAGCTTTTAATGTTTGACCCTAAGGGGCAAAACTCAGCTGCAGCTAGACTACAAGCCATGGATCAACACATTGAGTCAAGTTTCTTAACCCCAGGACAGGGTAAAGGAGACTGCAGCAGGCACATACTGGATTGTACTTGGCCATGGCAAGCCATATAAAAGGGCAATATTTACAATTAAGGGCAAGGTTGGGAAAGCATTGTAAAATTGAGGGATATGAGAACTTTTTGGCAAGTTTCTAAACTACAAATATGAGCCAAATGATTGGCCTTAAAGCCAAATCTCAAAAATCTCAAAGAAAGACAGAGGTTATTTTCCACACCTGCCTTTAGAGAGTGTGTGCTTGGAGATACTGTCTGTGCTTGAATTACTGTGTAATTCAAATGGGCCAGCAAGTTTCTGTTGTTTCTTCTGAGTAGTTAGTGTTCATTTCCTGGATTTGGGGCTGGAATTTATTTAAAGTGGCCTTTAATTATGTCCTCTGTAATCCTCGAGTACTCCTGCTATCCACTAAGGAATTAAGTTTAGTCGTAATTTTATTTTGGATACAGTTCAGCCATAGAAGAGAAGAAAGGCTGGAGGAGTTTTAAAATTTGAATTCTTTTTAGAATTGTGAAAGACTAATGGCGTGACTGAAAAATAAAACAAAATAGTCAAACACTTTAAAAACCAATTGTTAAGTAAAGGGGGCGATCAGTCTACAAGATCTCCTCAATATCTATCTTCAATATTATCTAAATGTGCAGACTAAAAGGCATGTTGGTATCCTGGGAAGCCATGTTAAAAGGTAAAGGTGGTAAGATTGACTCTGGTGACACCTGCTGTCCACTTCCTGCAAGTACAGCTGCCTTTGGATGAACAAATTCAGGATTGAAATCTATAATCTCCATAGGCTAAGGCAGATTAGAGGAGGGCGTATAATGATGTTTCTATTGGGTATGAATCTTAGAATTAAATCTGGACTCTCCCGATATGAGCTTTTATACATTATACTCACCCTCTGTAAAGTGAGATTTGGGTAGGCTGAAGTATTTATGTAGAGAAGTTGTAATCATCAAGTGTTTCTCATCAAAACAGCCTCCAGTATTTTGGAGTACATATTTTAAAATTTTAGGTACGATTTCTGGTGACATGAGAGTGCTTATCTTTTCATTTACTTCAAAACTCTTTCTTGTTACATATAACATTAGCCAATTAAGATTCAAGTGTAATTAATAATACAGTAATCATAGTGTTGGGATGAGAAGGGCAGGAGAGTACAGTACTTTATGCTTTCATGCCTCAAATGGTTCTGCATGTTTCCTCCTACCTTCTGTGAGGATCCGCTAAAACTAGCTACCAACAAGTTGCCGGCCTTTTCTTGAGAGGAAGGAACAAATTTTCTACAGTCTCTGTAGCTCTTGGAAGCTGGCATGGCCTAAGTTCCATGAAAATGGTTTTTTACCATTGATCATGACCTCAGGTGTCTCATTTTCCTTGATGAGTCAGAGAAGAAGAAATCTTCATAGGAAACAATTTCCAATCATGTAGATGACCACTAGGACTTGAGCAGGGTGGTGTCTGGCCACACAGGTGCCTCTTTGGCTGTGCTCTGGGCACAGACACTATTAGAGATGATCTGTTGTACTTGTAAAGAGAGGTTCCTAATTCATAATGGCTTCCATTTGAAAGTCTGCTTTATGAAGCTTTGACACGGGTGAACTGTCTTTGTTGAGAAAATAGATGGCTTATATGTCACAGGGCTGCTGCAAATATAAGGCCCAGCAGAAGCACATAGAATCATATTCCTTATGCAGGAGCAGGAGAAAGACCATGGCTTCACAAAGGCCCAGAAAAATTAACTGCTCAAGCGATCCTTCTAAGGACACTCTTGCTGCTAAGTCTAGTCTACATGTCACTGTCTAGCCAAGTATTTATGTTAATAGCAACAAGTAACAGTAGATTCAACTGGATATCTCTTTTGAGAGCCTAGATGTGGGCAAGCACAGTTTCAAAATTGCAGCTCTGAGAGTATGAAGCAATGGACCCTTGAGATGAAGAAAGCAGGGGGCTCAGAAGTAGGGTAAAGAACAACTCTCTCAGACTCAGGGTTTAAAAGTGAAAAATTGTCAAAAGAAACATAAACATCACAAGTTGGATTAGGGACTTTTATAAATAAGAGAGTTCATACATTGGGAAAACAATGTTAAATGTACGATGAACATTAATTATAAATCATTGAATTGAAATAAATTTAAGTACAGAAGTCCAATAGATTGCTAGAAATCTTAATTTTAATGTATAGAAGGTAATTGGAAATAAAACCATACCTTTTTGTTTGAAGTGGACGGTGGTACCAATTTCTAAAAAGAAACATTGAGCGAAACAAAAACAAATAAAAATTTTTTATCAACTGAGAATTAACATGAAAGTAGACCAGTACTCTCCACTGAAAGGAAAATGAGAGAAAAGGTAGGAAATAATTTTAGCAGGAAAAGAGAGTTTTAGAGATGGGAGGAAAGGCAGATGGATAGAGACTATTTGATTGGAACAAATAGCATTTGGAGGTGGCAACACTGGATTTGCAACTACAGACACTCGGTGCTCCGAGTTATGCACGTAGAAAAGTACATGAGCTAGGAGAATGGAATGGGAAATCACTCTCGACTGCAATTCAGGGCAACCACCACGGGCTGCGTTTGGTTCCCAACCTCAATGTACCATTTTGACACTAACTCACTCCACTTAAGACAACTGGCCTCACACTCTTCTTCTGACAAGTGAGCCTGCTCAAACGCTGAAAGCTTTGCACTTGTTGCTCAGTCTGCTTGCAATGTTCTCCCAGGTCCGTATCACTTGCCTAAGTCACTGCATTCAGATTTGCGCTGACTTGTCACGAACTCAGGGAGGACTCCCCGGTCACTGTCTCACAAGCAGCATTCTCTGTTATTCTCCTCGATTTCTTTTCTCTACCTACTCATCTAAATAGTGCTAATCTCCACCTGGCACCACATCAAACACTTACTTATCTGCTTGTTTATGTTTTGTGGGCTCCTTTGGAATGTATGCTCTATGAGGGCAGCAGTGGTGTATTTCTTGTTGAGCACTGCTTTCCCCAAAATTAGACCCCTCATGTAGTAGGTTTCAATGAATGTTGCACAAATAAATACATGTCAAGGTTTGAAACGACCATATAGGTTAAATATTTAGATATTCTTTTAATTATTCTTATAAGCCACAATACTCCTGGATCTTCATATATAAGTATAATTTCCAGGAAGTGCCACTTTGAATCTCAAGACCAACTGAGGATACAATAACCCAAGCTGGCCATGTGACACAGATTTTCTTTTCTTTGTCTATCACAACACAGTCCTGCATTTCTGAATAATTTCACTAAAGAAGTAGAATGAATCGACCCTTCAGCCAGAGAGGCCGTTGTGAGTTGGATATCTGGGCACCTAAGACTCCTGCATGAAATTTGCTCATGTTTTCTTGTGGCTTTTAAGGTAAAGATCAAAATCCTTAACATTGCTTGTGTGACTCCTTTTGCCACCTTTGCTCCTCCAACCTCATCAAAATCTATCCCATCACCAGCTTTTCTTTGTTCTTCCTGGTACCATGTTTTCTCTGCCACAGGGCACGTGGCCCAGGGATACCTCATCTAAAACTATCACTCAGCCTCAGGATTTAGTTCTCACTTCCACAAGGAGGTCAATCTCCTTGGCATGTTAAGTCTCTTAATGAGAAGCTCTGCCTTCTTTCGTAGCATTCTCTTCAGTTTAAATTGAAAATGTGTTTGATGCTTCGATTAGTACCTGTCTTCCCTCACTGGACTCTTAATTCCATGGAAACATGGGCTTTGTCTGTGAGTGTTTGTTACTGCAGTCTAGCCAGTATAAGTATTCTGAATGGCCCCAAACAGAAAACAACAACAACAACAGAGGAGAAAAAGAAACATATGCCTAGCATTCCCCTAACATAAAAGGGGGGAAAAAATAGAGAATGTGAGAAGCTAAATTCTTTATCCTGTGACGTAACACAGGAGTCAGATCTTTGGAATTAAGTCTGCAAAATTGCCGAGGTTTGGGCAGCTTATTAAATCTGTCTCTCAAAGATGTTTTTTGTCCATCCAAAGTAGGCTACAAGTAGAAGCTCTCAAATACTGTAATTTTTGTGCATGTGTGTGTGTGTGTGTGTGTGTGTGTGTGTGTGTGATTGTAAAGAAGGGCTTGATTATCCTCATGTCTGGCATCTGAAAATGTTTGGCTACAGTTTAGCATTAGCAAAAACCTGTCCCACACAGGCTGTCCCTAAGAGCCAGCTGCCTCTGCAGGTGGAGACATTTTCCCTAAACTGGTCAGATGTGGAGGAGGAGCCTAGCGCAAGTGTCCTGTTCTGTTGTAATTGCTGGAGGAGCTCGTGGTACACTTCTGAAGATGCAGGAATCAACATCTGCCCTTATGTCATTGAGGAACATTAATTGTAGATACTGGATTAACAAGAGCAGCACACTGCAAGGTCATACAGAAGAATGGAGTAAGAATTTTCCTTTTGTAACAGAAGACAGCGCGACCGAACCTGTGCTTACTCTGGAAAGGAACTGAGGTTCTTTTAACATACAGAACACCAGTCTACCTGCTGACAGCCTTTTATGCCCATCTTGTGACCAAACCACTGACATGCCAAATTGTATATTAATCACACTGCCATTAGTTTCTTTGGTAATACTTGCTTTAACTACTTTTCCTTGCAATTAACACATTGCTTTAAAATTCATTGGAAGGACACTGCCAGGACAGTGTTCATTGCAATACGAGGGAACTGAGGCCCAGAGAGGTTACACAAATAACAAATGGCAGAAACAGGGCTGAAATTTATGGCTCACAGCTCTATAGCCAGAATCCAGAACACTGTGCCCCTGTCTAGTATTTTTTTTTTCTACATAAGCGAGGCTTCTATAGCTGTAGGAGCGTCACTGGAATATTTAAATCACATAATACTGGCCAGAAAAGCTCTACTCCGGCCAAGCAAGAGTCCTGGGTCAAGTCTCTTGGTTTATTGTCCTTTAAAATGTATCAGGACATTGCAGGCCACAGAATGGTAGTTTTTTGCTAAAGTGGCTTAGATTCTTTATAGGGACCATATTTAGGTAAAGAATATTAGAATTTCCTTGTTTTATGGCTGGTCTACAGGCTTACAGTAATAATTTCAAGCAATCATTCAGGCACCAAAGCAGGCAAGAAGGCCAATGAATCTACTTAAACTAGAAAATATCTCTTAACTTCTTTTAGTTTTAAATTCAGTAAGGTGAGTTTAACCTTCCTCATAAAATCTGCCATGGATTAGATAAATTAATCCACGTATTGTACCTGACATGTAATAAGCACTTAATTAAATAAGAGTTGTTGTTGCCAGGCTTGTGATGAAAAGCACTTCTAGAGGGGATTTTCAGTCAAATTTTTGTGAAAGGGAAAAAAAGCAGATGTGCTAGGAAATAAGCCATGGAGATATAGGTCCAGATGATGATGATGGTATAAATATTTATTTATATATAAATATATTGCAGCAATATAATGAACGAAGCATCAGAACATTGGAAAATTCTAGCACAAAAAAGTGACAAGAAAGTAGATGGATTAGGCAGCTTCTTGGTCAGTATAAAACTGGTCACATTTCTGCAAGAACTAGGCACTGGCATGGGCTCATGTAAAAGACTGCAAGTGCCACATCTATGTTAAGAGTAAGGGGACAAGCACTCCTCTGCTAAACAAAAGAAAGATTTTAAGATATCACAAAGTATTTCATTCTGTGAAGAAAAAGTCAGATAGAAATATGTATATTTTATTGAAGTAAATTAAAAAGGCAGGGTATATGACAAGTTAAATTTTAGAAACTCCTTCCTCTTCCTATAATAAATAGCCTTCTTTATGAAATATTATAGATGACAAAACTTAGAATTCCAGGTCTCTAGAAAAAGAGTGTTTATTTAGTGTATTCTAGATGCATTCTTTTGTATTGTGATTTCCTATAATTTCCTTATGTAATAATAGAATATTCTCTTTTGAGGAAAAAAAAAATCCAAAACAAAAATTAAACCCCCTCCAAAACAAAAACAAAAACAACAAAAAACCACAAATCCTTGTACATTGTTGATTTGCTCTTTGGAAATTTGGGTAGCTGCTGCCATCTTGTGGTGATATTATGACATGCTCCTATGTGCTGTCTAAAGAAATCACCTTTGTCCATGGGGTGGCAATGGTGAGAGAAAGAAAAACTTCTTTGTGTCACAGCCGGCATGAAATGTTACTCCTCAAGAAGGGATATTCCTTATAATAGGAAAAGAAATTTATTTTGGCCCTTAACAACTGAAAATTCTTTTTTGTGTGTGCAAAGGTGACCTTGACGAAAACTGCATTCCTGGGAATATTCTTGTAGGGATTCCCTGGGCACACTAATTAGGACATACATGAAACCTATGTTTCTTGGTGTTTCTTTTTTATGCCTTTTGTGAAAAGTTTTCCATATACATTGATCTTGCTTCAGCAAAATGACTTAACAAATAAGCATAAATTTAAATAAAATATAACTAAAGTATAATTACAGTAAGTATAATTTTAAAAGGCAGATCTGTAGCCAGTCGATGGACTGGGGGAACTAGTGTAGAAAAGGTTCTACACAGTCAAGTGCTTGGACCTTAGCTCCTGATGAGAGGGGTATGAAGAGGCACTGGGGTAAAAGTCCGACACTGAACACTAAGGAATGCAGGTGCCTTGACAGAGGTATTGATGCCAGCCTTCCTTGATTTTTCAGTCTGTGTTCAACCACGTTAGACAAGCGTGCACCATTAAAAAAACCAATGACTCATCCTATCCATTGGAATATGTATGTCTCTCAGGCTTACTACGATATCCTCAGCTTGCTATTTCCCCAGGAGAGAGTATCCAATAGATTTGCCAAACAAATGTCTGAGTGTGTAAATTGAATGAATGAATGAAGAGTCAATCCCTCCGGAGCCTTGGTAAAGCTTCAGGGAGTGGGGTTTGTGTTCTCTTTTTGGAACCACAGACCCTTAGCCCCAAGGCAAATCTATTGCTGAGAATTCCCAGACATTTTAAGAGGAACTCGGGGCTGGGAGCTTTTACTGGCACCTTTCAAATCCTGGCAGGTAGAAATTTTTCTGGAGGGCTGAGCTTTATTTAAAAATATCCTCATGCCTAATAAGAACTTAAACCTACACAAATAAAAACTCAAGCTTCTTTTTTGTTTAAAGGTCAGAAAATACATTCTTCTTCTCATCTCTCCCTCTCCCTCTCTCAAAATTAGTGTTGCAATGATGAAAGGCCCTTAGTGAGAAACTCAA